TGGGACCAGTTAAAGCTTGAAGATGGAATTCTGGGGCGGAGATGGGAAACTACAGATGGAAAGAGACGACTTGGCAAACAGTTATACCGAGGAAGTTACGGGAAGTTGTGCTGCCTCAATCCCATGATAATTTAACAGGAGGACATCTCGGAATTAAGAAGACATTGAATCACATACGACAAAGATTTTATTGGATAGGTATGAGGCGAGATGTGGAAGAATGGTGCCGAACATGCAGTACATGTAGTGATAAAAGGGGACCCAAGCATACGGGACACTCACCTTATGAAGAGTTGCCTGAGAATATGTCAGTGTTTGTGGAAGTGTTATCGGAAAGGATAGATGATATTCACCATCAAGTGCATTCAAAGTTGAAAACGTCTGCTGATTCGATGAAGTTAACTTATGATAAGAGATCTACTGAAGTCAGCTTTGTACCAGGAGACAAGGTATGGTTGTATAATCCCAAGAAGACCAAAGGGAAGTCTCCTAAGTTGTCTTCTCCAAGGGAAGGCCCATATGACATAGTGGATTGTCTCTCAGATGTGACTTTCCAGGTAAAATGTGGTCGGCGAGGTAAGCCAAAAGTGGCGCATGCCAACAGGCTTTGGCGTTATCACGGTCCAGGACATTTCAGTTGGGATGAAGTGGACAATAGAACAAATGACGCTGCTGAAGACGTGCCACCTGAAGAAGCCACCATCGAAGAAGAAACTCTACTCAGTGTTGAGAAGGGAAACGGTGAAGCTTTTGATGAAGTTACTACCACTGATGTGACTGTTACCGATGATAGGACATTTACTGATGAAGCAGATGAACCACACATGAAGCAGAAGCCAACGAGAAGGAGACCAGTACGGAAGAAGATACGTCCCGTAAAATTAACAGACTTTGTTGAATTGTAATTTTGTGATTGTAATTCTGTACATTTAATTAAGTTATTGTTAATTGTTATTGGTTTATTTATTGTAAGTGGTTATTGTTCGGGATGAACAATATTAAGGAGGGGGCAGTGTTGCGTCAGCGAGGTCACATGACTAGTGTCACGCCACGTTTCTAGAGCTATCCTGTACCTTGGCAAATGCTCTAGCATTTACTAGATATAGGGTAGTCTGGTATATAAAAGAGGGTGACAACGTGACGGGATAAGAATGTGTGTGTAGACAGTGAGTAATTGATCTGCAGTCAGAGAGTATTATTGAGCACGTTTGTTGTTATAGCATTTGTTATAGCGTTTGTTTTAGCGCGATTGTTGAAATTAAGTGTATCGTAAAGTTATATTCGGAAAGAATAAACCAGTTTTATTAAGTAAGGACTTGTGTCGCTAAAGTTTCGTCGGAATGAAGTTACGGAAAGTTAATTAACAAACGGAGACGTAACATAATGTATACCTCTTCATTTTCTGCTTTAAGTGCAGTCAGACGTTTGTGTAACTGCTTATATCGTTGTTCTAGTTCTTCTTTTACAGCTTTATCCAAACACAGCTTGGGTACCTGAAATAAAACTTTTTAAACATTTTCAATATTTTTACAAAGCTACTAATAAACACATACATCTTTTAAAAAAATTTTTTTGGGCATGTATTTTTCTTATATCAAAGCCACATCAGGCTATCTACTGTGTACATTGAGGGGAATCGAACCCCTGATTTTAGCATTGAGAATCCATAAACTTACCGCTGTCCTACTCGACGACAAAATATTTTGAATATAATTATAAAAACAAGATTTGGAAAATGTTAATTTGGGCATTCAGATAAATTAACTTCATTAAAGAAAAATCTGTTTTTTAAAATATTACACGACTGTATAAGGATAGGCTGGTCTATCTAAAACTGAAATGGAAAGAGTATAATGTGAATTATGTTAACTAAAGTCTAGTAAAGAAAACAAGACACCACATATAAGAAATACCATTTCAAAATAATCATACAGATTATGATTAAAAGTCTTCATTATTTCCCAACCACCTAAATCATAAACTCTGCCAAATTTCCTTCCATTGTTTTTTTAGTTCACACTGGTTATTATCTCAAGTTTGTTTTGTTGGACTTCATACAGTTCATTTCATATAGTCTACAGTCCATTCTGTTATTCTCAGTTTCTGATGCTGATTATGATCTAAAGTTTGTTTTGTTGGACTTCATACAGTACATTTCATATAGTCTACAGTCCATTCTGTTGTTCTCAGTTTCTGATGCTGATTATGATCTAAAGTATGTTTTGTTGGACTTCATACAGTTCATTTCATATAGTCTACAGTCCATTCTGTTGTTCTCAGTTTCTGATGCTGATTATGATCTAAAGTATGTTTTGTTGGACTTCATACAGTTCATTTCATATAGTCTACAGTCCATTCTGTTGTTCTCAGTTTCTGATGCTGTTTATGATCTAAAGTTTGTTGTGTTGGATTTCATACAGTACATTTCATATAGTCTACACTCCATTCTGTTGTTCTCAGTTTCTGATGCTGATTATGATCTAAAGTTTGATCTGCTAACTTTTGTACAATAACTTACATATATAACCTATAGTTCATTCTGTTCTTCTAAATATCCCATGCTGGTCTTCATGATGTAGACCATTAAACTTTTTTAGATGAGCTCCAAGATAATTCTTTAACTTTGTTAGTCTCTTCAAACCTCACTACATATTATATAGGTTACCTACATATTGTATCTTACAGTGTGGGGGAGCTGCGAATTGTAACTCTCAGGATGGGGGTTATCTGCACATTGTAACTGATAAAATAAGAGTTATCTGCACATTGAAACCAATTCAGGATGAGGGCTGTTTGTTCAATGAAACTGACAAGATGAGGGTTATTTTCATATTATAGCCATCACTATAGGTTGATACGCATACTGTTTTGGGTATAAGTCCAAGAGTATAGTACAACATGATAACAATATAAATGACTAATGTAATCACAAGGGTATAGTACAACATACTAACAATATACATGACTAATGTAATGACAAGGTGGCCAGAAAGAACAAACTTTTGCATTTCCTGACTTCTTCAGAAAGAAGTATAATGATATTCAAAGTATTTCTCCCCCCCCTAACATTTTCAGGTTTTACTGATATGTTAAAACTTTCCAGACTTTTCCCTTACATTTATTTGCTTAACTTCAGCTTTCCTGACATTCCTATGTTTTTCACATGTGTTGTAACCTTGCATCTAATAGTTTTACAATATTAATAGGACCACTATAGAGACAAGATGGTACTGATAATGATGGGTCAGTAACGGAATTGAAATGATGTAATGATGAGATGACAATGAGGCTGGGATGGTAATTGAACTAATAACACTTGAATGATTATAAGATGGTAATGGAATTGATAATGGTAGGATGGCAATGAGACTTATAATGATGAGATGGTAATGGAACTGATAATGGTAGGATGGCAATGAGACTTATAATGATGAGATGGTAATGGAGTTGATAATAGTAGGATGGCAATGAGACTGATAACAATGTGATGGTAATGGAACTGATAATGGTAGGATGGCAATGGGACAGTTAATAATGAGATGGTAATGGAACTGATAATGGTAGGATGGCAATGGGACAGTTAATAATGAGATGATGGCATGCACACAAGTTTACTATTGAATATATTCCAGGAGCTAGTAATGAAGCTTTTATAAACATAACAGTATAAAATCACTTCTTTAAAAACAAAGTGCAAATTAAAAAAATTACAAACTACATAAAAACCTACCATATCTCCTTTATTAGTTTGAAATTCAAATTTCTTAGGTACCATAAAGGCTGAGTTATTGTTTTCCAGAAATCGCTGTTTGTCTAGTTTTGTGTCGAGTTTACTGATACACTTGACCATGCTGTCGATGTTGTTCTGTCTGGAATTCTGAAGACACTCTTCTGCAGAGACATACATTTGAAGTGCACCAGCAATAAGTGTATACAATCCAAAGTCCATGCACTACACAAGAAATAAAAGTTAGCCAATAAATTCTTTCCATTTCAAAGACAGTGCCACTTACTTCTTTTCATTTCAGTTGATTATACATGATAATTATAAGTTACATAGTAATTATTACATTCATGATAATAAAAATCTTATAACTACGATATGCACAATAATGTCACATCTTAATTTGATTATAATTTTCATGGTAATACAACTTCCATAATCAGTACTTAAAATATTCATAGTAGTACTACTTCCAGACTTAGTATTTAAGATATTCATGGCAATACAGATTCCATACTTGGTACTTAAGATATTGATTGTAGTACAACATTCATACCTAGTATTTAAAATATTCATGGTAGTACCATTTTCGTACTTGGTAGTTAAGATATTCATGGTAGTACAACTTTCATTGTAGCTGCTTAAAATATTCATGATAGTACAAATTGGGAATTTCATCCTCAAACTTACATTAATCTAATTGGTAAGCTTATCATCACTTACATCAATCAAGTAGGAAGATCTTCAACAAACATAATATAATGTTCAGGGACAACAAGGGACCTACTGGTTCACCTAAGCTGTCCCATCCTCTAAACTATTAATTAACAAAAATAAAAAAACCTCAAAGCCAGCCCTTATCATTCACTTAGTTATGAAAAAAGATGATGCATCAACACTATCAATTCCCTTAACAATCTTAAACACCTCAATCAGATCCCTTCTAACTCTTATTTTTTCATTAGAAAACAATTTCAGAGATTTTAACCTCTCTTAGTATAACAAACCCTCCATCCCAGGCACCATTCTAGTAACAATGCTTTGAACAACAATTAAATGCCCTTTCTAAGGTAAGGACCCAAAGACTGAACACAGTACTCCAAATGTGGCCTAACCAATGACCTATACAACGAAATTTTAACCTCTTTAGATTTGTATTCAATATTTCTATAGATACAGCCTAAAATTCTATTTGCACTACCATCAGCAACAGCACACTTTTTGGATAGCTTAAGAGTCTGATCAACCATTACAACAAGATCCCTTTCTTTCATAACACTGTTAAGGTTATTCCCATCAAAATTATACTTATAATTCAAATTATGATAACCCACATGTATTATCTTGTATTTATTATAATTAAAACCCATCTGCCATTTATTCACCCAACTCACTAGATGGTCTAAATTATTTTGTAAATCAGCAGCATCCTCTTCACAGCTAGCAACACTAAAAACCTTAATATCATCAGCGTATTTATGTAATTTATTGATCATTCCTTCATCTTTGTTACTGATGTAAATCAAAATAAGCAAAGATCCTAAGACTCAGCCCTGAGGTACCTCACTAGTAACATTAATCCAGTTTGACTGAACTCCATTTACAAATCTCTGCTTTCTTCCATCCAGCCACTCTTCTATCCAATTAGCTAACTTATCCCCCAGAGATAATGTTTTTACAAGCCTTTTATATGGCACCTTGTCCAAAATTTTCTAAAATCCCAGATACACCAAATCTACACTCTTACCCTCATCTACATAAGTAGTAACCTTTTCAAATTTGCCAAAAGATTTGTAAGGCAAGATTTTCCCATAGTGAAACCGAGTTGACTATCTAATAAATTTCTAAACTTTGTTAAATAACTTTGCAAAGTATCTTTTCTCAAACTTTCAATAAATTTTTCCATAACTGATGTAAAACTAATAGGTCTATAATTACT